TTACCAGTGTTTTGAACTGTGCATCTGATAGGTTAGCTATCTCTTCATCACTTAGTTCTATTTTTTGGAGTTTTGATCTGTTCTTTCATTTGGGCCATATTTCTTTGTCTCAGCAAGCCTGTTACGTTGGAAGGGGTGGAGCCTTAGGTAATTGCTCGAGGCGGGCAACCCAGGTTGCTGAATTGTGAGGCTGTCTGTGGGGGAGGGGTCTGAGAGGGAACAATGCCGCTTGCTTGGCTCTTGGTCAGCTTTCAGTCACTTCCCTTGCTACCCACAAACAAATTGGGCCCTTCTAGTGCTGATTCTGGGGGGTGGGGGGAGGTTTGTGTACATTCTAGGACCCTGTGGATCTCTCCAATGAACTTTCCTGTGAGGCTGGGTGTTTCTCCTGCTGCCCCCCACAGGTGTTTAGAGCCAGGAGTTTTGAGGCTTTCCTTTCCTGCACTGGAACCCTGGATTGCTCTGTCTGTCTCGTTCCCCAGTTGTTCCTCCCAGTTTATCCACATGCAAATGTGGGACCACCAGCTGCCACCTTACCCACCCAGTCCTTCAGCTGCCACCTTGCCTCATGTCCTCTCCACCCTGGCTGCCCGTCTCCGCCCCTCCTACTGGTCTATATGAATGTTTCTTCTTTAACTGCTTGGTTGTTGGACTTCTATACAGTTCGATTTTCTGGCAGTTCTGGTCATTTTTGTTTTTAAATTTGTTGTTGTCCTTCTTTTGGTTGTGCAAAGAGGCAAAGTACATCTACCTATGCTTCCATCTTGGCCAGAAGTCTAATGCTAAGTTCTAATGGGAGAGCAAAAGCAGGGTGGCTGGAAGCCAGGTGGCCAGGGACCCCCTTGTGTAGCAAAAAGAGCCAAGAGGATGGAGAGAGAGTTCTTTGTTCTGAGGACTTATATAGTTGGTGAGATGGGGGTGAGGGAGTTACATATTGATTGATGGGTAAAGGTGGTGCCAGCTTCTTCCCAGGGAGATGTGACTACCCAAACGTAGGTATATGTGGGGGTCTGTTAGACCAAATGCTTATCTTCTCCAGACTCTTTGTTCATTTTGTATATGTGACGGGAGATAGGCAGTTAACCAAAGTTTTTTATGGGTTTTTCCCCTGGACAGTGTGGTCCCCTCCCCTTTTCCCTCCCAGGCCTTGGGATGCATACACAGTCTCAAGGTTTTCCTTTTCCCAGTGAGTGGAGATGATACACACAGACTTTCAAGGGCTCCCCTCCTCCTATTCTATCAGTTTCACTTGTTTGGAATTCACTTATCGGACCAGGCTCAGGATTCCTGGGTCACCGTGGGAGCTTTTGTTTTCAGCCTCCTGTATTAAGTTCTTTCTTAGTTTGCAATGATGAGGGCCCTGCCTTCATTTCCCCTCTGGTCACTCTTTCTATGTAACAGCATCCCCACCCTTTTCCCGTCTATCTTAACATGTTGTGCTTTCATTATTATTCACCTAGATTTCTAGTTTCCCTTGTGATTTCTTCCTTGATTCCTAGAATATTTAGAAGTGTGCTTAATTTTAAAATATTTGGAATGTTCTGGGTATCATGTTTCTGATTTCTGATATAACTGATGCAATGCCATTGCATTGTGTTGTTTTAATCCTTTTAAATTTATTGAGACTTGCTCTGTGGCCTAACATGGTTTATCTGGATCAGCATACCTTGGGCACATGGAAAGACTGTGTCCTCCGTAGTTGGTGAGTTCTACAAATTTCAATTAAGTCCCAGTTCTACAAATTTCAGTTAAGTCCCAGAAGAAAAGTGGAAGATGAGGGTGTAACCACATCAGGAGAGGACTTCTGAGCAGATATCTGCTTATAACTTCTGGGTGGGGACTGGATCACGTGGCCACTTCTAGCTGCAAGGGATGAGGGAAGGTGAGGTTTTAGTTTTCTAAGATTATACAGGAGAGAAAGTCAAGGAGAAGGGGGCTTGAATGTCTGCTGAGTGGGTGCAATAGACTGAAAGTTTGTGTCCCCCAAATTCCTTTGTTGAAACCTAATTCCCAATGTGATGGTATTTAGAAGTGGGGCATTTGGGAGGTGATTAGGTCATGAGGGTGGCACTCTCATGAATGGGATTAGTGTCCCTATAAAAGAGGCCCCAGAGAGCTGTTTGCCCTCCCACCATGTGGGGACCCAGTGAGAAGACAGCCATCCATGAACCAGGAATCAGGCTTTGGCTGACACTGAATCTACTGGCGCTTTGATATTAGACTTTTCAGCTGATAGAACTGCAACAAATACATTTCTGTTGTTTTGAAGGTCACCCAGTCAGGTCTCTCTGGTCTTGTTTAATCTGAAACACTCCCCCTACCTTGTTGGGCTTGGGGTGACTTTGTGGTGTCCCAAGCCCTTCGTGTGCATTCCTTTGAGTTTTACTTGCAGTCACTCCTGTGTTTGGGCGCCTCCCAAAGTAGAGCCTGAGATGAGGACCCAGGTGCAGGGGTTCCTTGGGATGAAGGAGAGGGTGCAATGCGGAAGGGGATGCCTTCCTGAGATCAGTGCCGTGGGCAGCAGGGGCTTGTCTCCTGCACAAGGCATCCCAGGGTGGCCCGTCACCAGACAGCCGGCAGCAGTCACCACCGGCCCCTCCCTGAATAAGTTGAGGATCGCGTCAGAGGCATTCGCTTCCTCACCCTTCCAGGCTGCCCCTGCCCAGGGACCCAGCGAGCAAGGTGTACCTTATTGCCCTAATCAAGTAAAAGCTCTGAAAGACAGAGGAACTACCCAGTTTTGCTCTTCATGGCCAGTGAAGCCCAAAGTGTACTCATGACTGCTGGTTCTCACATCTCACTCCCTGGCTGGATCTGGACGTCGCAAGAGCAGAGGTTGTCTCACATGTGTCTCCTCCATCCAGGCGATCCAGGTGAGCGGAAGCGAACTCTGTGGAGAGAAGAAGGGACTTCTGCTGCCTGTCTGGGCTCCAGCAGGCTTGGAGTGAAGGAATGCATGTGAGCAGAGCGGGTGTGGGGGCGGTGAAGGACTCTGTTCAATGGGAAGCAGGGCCTTCTGGTGGGCGAATCAGCACAGAGGCAGGAAGGAACCAGCATGGTCGGGCCATGGTGAGGAGACCAGAGTGTGGAAAGGGTTCTCTCCAGGAAGAGGGTCCCGGAGCTCCTTGCTTGCCCGCGGTGTTCATTTCCAGTGCTGCCATAACACATCATCACCATCTTAGTGGCTTAGATTTATTATCTTACAGTTTTTTTTTAAAGATTTTCTTTATTTATTTTTAGAGAGAGAGGAAGGGAGAGAGAAATAGAGGGAGAGAAACATCAACATGTGGTTGCCTCTCGCGCTCCCCCTACTGGGGGCCTGGCCCACAACCCAGGCATGTATCCTGGCTGGGAATCGAACCAGAGACCCTTTGGTTCGCAGGCCGGCACTCAATCCACTGAGCCACACCAGCCACGACTCATCTTACAGTTCTTCAAGGCAGACGTCCGACATGGGTCTCCCTGGGCTAAAACCAAGGTGTCGGCAGAGCTGCATTCTCTTCTGGAGTTCCCAAGGGAGAAGTCACTCCCAGCTTCGAGGGGCCACCCACATTGCATGGCTTATGGCCGCTTGCTCCATCTTCAAATCCAGTGACTGCACATGTCTCTAACCCTTCTTCCAAAATCATGTCTTCTTCTGACCGCAGCAGGGGAAGGTTCTCGCTTTTGGGAACTCACATAATGGCCCCTCCCTGCCACCAGACAATCCAGGGCAGTCTCCCATCTCATGGTCCGTAATCTTAATCACCTCTGCAAAGGGGCAACATCCACAGGTGCATCCTGGGCACATCCCGGAGGGGGCATTATTCAGCCAACTCCACAGCTCCCTCCCATTTCCGCCAGGGCTGCTCAGGTTTTGTGGAGGAGCAAGGGGAGCAGACATTTTAAAGCCTGATCACCCCCATTGCTGGGGAGCCTATGAGGACAGGCACCTCGTTCTCTGTGTGTGGGGCTGGAACTTGGCATGACCTCTTTGGAGAGAAATTTGATGGTAGTACTAAAACTATATCCACATACCTGCTTGGCTGAATTAGCCATCCTACTCTTAGGAATGAATCGTGTAGAAATACAGCATGCCTGAAAACATCAATTAAAGGTTAATAGGAATAGATAGTTGAAGATGTAAATGTTTTGCCCTGGCTGGGTAGCTTAGTTGGTTAGGGTGCTGCCCCAATACACCAAGGTTGTGGGTTGGATTCCCAGTCAGGGCACACAGAATCCACCAATGAATGCATAAATAAGTGGAACTACAAATCGATCTCTCTCTCTCTCTCTCTCTCTCTCTCTGTCTCTCTCTCTCTTCCCCCCTCCCCACGGTGTCCTCTCTCTCCCTCTCTCTCTCAATCAATTAAAAAAAAAGATGTAAATGCGTGTCACAATATTATAATACAGAAAAACTGAAAATAACACATAAACAATGGAGTTCTGTGGGTAACTTAAAAAGATAAAGAAGATCTATAAATACTGCCATAAAGCATGTGCAGATACTACACCCAGTATTCTCTTCAGTCCTGACACAAGAAGGGTGAGCACGATTGTGAGATATATTACAGATGGGGAAACTGAGGCTCTGTTTCCCTTATTTTTCAGTATTAAGGGAAAGATTTGGAACACCTTTCTCAGGCCTCCAAGAGCCGACCTGAGAGTGCATGTCGGGTGAAGGGGGAGTAAGGGGCCAGGAGGGACGCCTGTGGGGTCCTGACCTGGGTTCCTCCAGCCCTGCACACTCTGGGAGTGGCCGTGGGAGCGCATCCAATGGGCAGTCGGGCCTCTGACAACCGGCTACAGGTGGGCCTGGGATGGCAGTTCACGCGGTCGTCAGACTCAAGCATCCCGGACAGGACAGGGCATCTGCATCCCCCTCTGTACCCCTGACCCTTCCAGGCAGCCACTGCCTCAGCATCCCTGTCTTTACATGGGAATCTCATACACTGCAAAAGGCAATATTGTAGAGCAGTATAAACAATATGACCCCAGTATATAAATATATATATATCAATTTTCATAATGAGATGCACATAAAGAAAAAAACCTAGAGGGTTTAAGGGGGGCACATCCTGCACAGGAGTGTGAACACCCAGTGATCATGCTTCTGAACTGCAGAAAGATGTATATATTTTATGGGATATTTTCAAGAATATTCTCAGTGTTCTCTCTGGGGAGTTGGACTAGGGTGGCATTCCTTTCCTCCTTGTTTTGTTTCCAACAACGAACATTGGTTTCTCACCTGCCTGACCCAGACTAATTCACGGGGTGGCTGCCTTGGGAGAAGCGTGTAAGGAGCTCTGCAAAGCAGAGTCAGGAAGGAAGGGGGAAGAAGGGACTGTGGAGCGTTAAGCAAGCCAAATTACAACAGCCACGGGTTTCTTCCCCAGGGTCATATTCAAGAAAAAGGAGCAAAGGACAAAACGCCAAAGGTATTGGGGGGGTTTGTTCCCCTTCCAGGGGTGGTCAAAGGTGGAGGTATCTGTGCAGCCTCCCTCCTCCCCCGGCTGGCCAGCCATGCCTGTGTCCACCTGCTCCAGCCTCAGCGGCTACAGCAAGCAGATTGTGGCCTTGAGAGAGGACTGGCGGCCAAGGGGTCTGGAGCTATGTCCTCGGGATTTGGGTCTTGAGTCTTCCCAGGTCCCTCAGGCGGTGGTGGTATGACTACCTGTCCATGACTGTGTCCAGATTCACTGTCAGACCGGAAACCTGAAGACAGGACTCCAGCCCTGCTCTTGGCATACCTGCTCAGGCCTGAGCAACGCTGGGCCCCAAGAAGGGTTTGTTGAATGAATGTATGGTCCTCACCCATCACCTCTCTCTGAGGGGTGACTCAGCGTTCCTAAGGTCACTGGAAACCACTCAGCCAGGGATGGAAGTAAAAACGAGTGTGCTGGATATACACCAGTATTTCATTCTCAGGCTCAGAAAGGTTAAATCATTTGCCCAAAGTTACATAGCAAGAAAGAGGCTGAGCCAGATTCTAACCCAGATCCTCTGGCTTGGTGGCTCTTTGGCCACCCCAGAGAGGGTCAGGGACGTGCCCAAGATCACCCAGTTGGGGGTGAGGCCCAGTCCAGAGCCAGGCCACTTGTTCCTCATTTACCCTGGCCCAGGCACAGTGAGGTGAGTGTAGTCGGTCCAAAATCTCCACAAAATTAACTCAGAACTAGAGGACAGGGGTGATGTGGTTTGACTGAGGACATGAGAAGAAAAGGGAGAAGAAAAGGTTTAAGGGTTTGAGTTGGTGTCAACTCTGATCAGTCAGCCTTGTGATGTGACTTCCAGATGGGAGCTCTGGTTGCATTAATAGGAGCATGGTGGCGTGCAGAACAAAGGAGGTGGCAGCTGATCTCTGGTCCTCATCTTAGGCCACACTGGGAGGGCTGGGTTTGATTCTGTATACCAGCCCTTAGCAGAAACATTAGCAGGAGCATGTCCATGGGGACAAAGTGACGTGATAGGTCAGATAAGAAGCACTGATAGGATGAGGAGGTATTCAAGGATGGGGGGGCGGGTGGCCCAGAGGGAACTTGGTCTCTGACTTACATAAGGTCTCCCTTCCCCAGCCCCTGACAACGACTAATTTTTTTCTGTCTCTGTGGGTTTGCCTGTCCTGCCTAGTTGATGTAAATAGAGTCATACAGTATGTGACCTTTTGTGATTGACTTCTTTCACTTAGCATCATGGTTTGAGGTTCTTCATGATGTAGCACGTACAAGTGCTTCATTCTTCTTCATGAGTGAATGACATTCTAACCAAACTCGTCTCCTTCAGTTCCTGGAGGGCACCAAGCCTTTCCCACCTCCAGACTTTTGCACAGGCCAAGAACATTAGTGGCCAGAGTTGGCACTCGATAACTTTCTGGGTCGTTGCTGCAAAATTCTGCATCCTCTTCAGGGCCTCTGGATTTAGGGGCGTGAGGTATCCCTCCCCAGGGCAGCTGTGGGCTTTTGTAGAAGCCATAGAAGATAGTTCAACCTGCTAATAACACTTAGGGTATTATTACCGTGAGAAACTCTATAAGGTTATTCCTGCCCCAGTTCCTGGGTACGCAGCTGAGTGTGAGGTTTCAAAAGATTGGAGCAGGGTACCCAACAAGGGTTAGCACAGCAAATGTTGTGTTCATCTGCTCTCTTGTGGCCTCTCTCAGGATAGCATGTACCAGTTTCCTTGCCTCCCTGATGTTAATGCTACAAACTGGCCACGAGAGGGCAGGCTTCTCAACCCTATTCCTCCCAATACAACACTTCTCCCTCACCCAACCCCAGTTCAAAAAAAAATATTGTAGGTTTTTAAAAAATAGCTTTACTGAGCTAGAAATCATATAGTGTATGCTTTATGCATTCAAATCGTACTATGCAATATTTTGAGTATATATTTATAGAGTTGTATAACCATTACCACAATCTAATTTTAGAACACTGCTATGGCTCCAGAAAGAAACTCCCCTGTCTTAATTGTTACCGCCCACCATTTCCCAGCTCCCCAAGCCTAGGCAACCACTAATCTGATTTTTGTTTCTAGAGATTTTTCTTGTTGTTGTTCTGGATATTTTATATAAAGGAATCATACAATTCGTGGTCTTCAGTGACTGGCTTTTGTCATTTAGCGCAATGTAGCATGTAACAGTACTTTGTTTCTTTTTATTGTAAAATCAGTGTTCCATTGTATGGATATACCACATTTTCTTTGTGCATTCATGAATTGACGAACATGTGGGCTGTTTCTACTTTTGGCTATTATGAGTAATGCTGATAGGAACATTTGTGTACAGATTTTATGAGTATGTTAGATACATGCCTTCATTTCTCTTGGGTGTGTATATTTAGGAGTGAAATTACTTAACTCTACATTTAACTATTTGAGAACGTGCGAGGTTTTTCTCTGCTGCGGCTGCACCATTTTACATTCCAACAGAGCTGTGAGCTCACAGAGGGCAGGACAGCTCGTTTCCCCGAGCCCCCGCGGGCCTCGCACGGGGTCAGCAGCCGTGGTTAATGCTTAGGGACTGCCTGTTGAGGAGCAGGCTGGGAGGCCTGGGTAATCCTGATGGACCTGGAGGGCGGTTTCTTTGGGGAGACAAACTGTGGGAAGTGGCAGGAGCAGCTCAGGGAACAAGGCCCTGCAAGCCCGGGGGCTGTGGGAGGCTCGGATAGGGGAGCACAGAGCCCCTCCCAGGGAGGGGCTCGGGCAGCATTCACGTGCCTGGCGCCCTACCAGCGTGAAGGAAGAGGAGCCAGTGAAAAGCTTCCTCAGAAGGAAGTGGGGTCCCTGGGTGGGGGAGGTGGGGGTTCAGGGGCAGGGGTGCCGGGGCAAGAGGAGGAGCGCTGGTGGAGGGCGGAATGGGTTGCAGAGGTGGGGGTGGGGTCAGGAGGGAGGGCAGGGCCCCAAGGACTCTAGGATGATGGGCCCAGACCACTGGCCTGAGGAACGCACCCTCCATTCGAGGACAAAACAAACCAGGACACGTGACGAGCACAGGCCCTAAAATGTCTAAAGTGCTGGGTCCGCAGGGATCCTCAGACTTGCCTGTGTAACAGCTGTTCTGAAGTAGAAACTGAGACCAGAGTCCAATGTGCCCTTTTCTGGGCAAGGCCAGCCCTTGCCTTTGTAGAAGCTCTTGTCTGTAGAATCTCAGGGTTCCTGGCTCCAACATCTTTCCTCTACTGTGCTCAGAATGCTCCATACTGTGCCTTTCTTTAGCTTCAAGCAGAAACCCCAGTTCCAAAAGCCAGTAGGGTCTCCTGTGGGGCTGTGTGTGGACACATTGAAGGGCTCAGCTGAGGGACTATGACCCTACAGGAAATCAGTTCAAATTCTACGTGTAATTTCTTTATCTGAAATGTTGGCAACTCATTGCAATTGTTTTTTAAAACAGAGTATAATTCCTTCAAGACTGCACGTCAAAACACCTCCTTCATGGGACAGGCTCAGTGACCACAGGCCTGGAGCTCGGGCTGACCGGCTGCCCCGCATTGATCTGAAATCCCCCTCGGTCATCCACACCAACTGGACTGTGCTAGATGCTGTCAGCCAGGACTGGGGTGGCACAAGGGGACACGGGTGTTACCGAACAATGACCCCATTGTGGGGGGAGCCCCAGATACTATCACCAGGACAATGCTTCCCCCTTTCTCTGGGGCCCCTCTGTTCCAGGTTCGTTTGCCCGCCGCCCTTGAAATCATGGCTCTCAATGGCAGAGCCTGCCGAAAAGGAAGTTATACAGGTTTTGATTAATGGCTAAATGTTGCCTTTAAGTCTCAAACACCCACCATTTAAACACCTACCAATACACACACAGTCCTGCCTTCCCCACTTTGCCTAGTCAGGCCAGTCAGGGTTATCGTCCTTCAGAAAAAAAAGAACAGAAGTCCAGAGCTCAGCCAGGCAGGCCTCTCGTTGTCCCCAGCACCATCTGCGGTGCTGCCGCCATCTCCGGTTCTTATTTCAGAACCAGGTGACACCTTCTCATGGCCCACTAGCAAGAGTCCTTTCTCCCCTTTCCTTCCCGCCTGGTCTTCTCGTTGTTCCCTCGCGGCGTGGAGCAAGCCACCTCTGAGCTCTCGTGCACACACGCTGTTAACAGCGTGGCGAGGGGTGGGGACCCGACCGCCAGCATGGCTGCTACATCTTGCTTCTCTGCTTCCTAAGCCGTGTGGTCAAAAGCCTCCAGCTTGACGAGCACTTACGTCCCAGCCCAGGCGGAACCCTCCCCCAGAAACCCCATCTCCGACCCCTGCAGCAGGCCCTGCAACCTGGGGAGCCGCTTGCCCGGTTACATCCTGGGTTAAACTTCTGCAAACCTTCCAGGTTAGCCTTGTTGATATCCAAAATAACCATCTTTGCATTTGAGGAATGAAGCTATCCAGCTGTTATTGACATGCAAAGCAATTCTCCTTGGCCCTGCTCCTGGTCCAGCATGAAGCTGGCCTGTTATTGATACGCAAAGTAACACAATGGCCCTGCTCCTGTCTCCCGTCCCTCCTGGGTGCCTGCCCTGGGGTGGGGGTTGAGGGGGTGAGTATATCTTGTATTTCCTTGGACACCCCAATTTCTGGACCTTATTACAAATCCCCTTGGTGGGGCCTAGCTGTACTCTATTACACAGGGGCAGAGGGGAA